TTATAATTTTCTAAATAATGTCATTTTTTAAAAAACTAATAGTAATCTGTATCTAATTTTAAAAAGAAGTATAGCAATTAACTACGTGAGAGTGAGATTACCTTAGAAATAACGCTTACATAAAATTTTTGGAGGGATTTATTTATACAAAATTTTTACATATTACATATATATAAAATTTTGAGTATTTATTTTTTTACTTTTAATTATCGATATTTATTATGATTTTTTAAGTAAAAATATGAATATTTTTAATAAATATTAATAAATCTTAATTATTGAAAGTGAAAAAATAAATAATTAAAATTTTGTATAAATGTGATGTGTAAGATTTATCTATGAGTAGATTCCTAATCAAATTTTAGTAATGTCTGCAAGAATGATAATGAAGTCAATCATGTTTTGCTATTTCATCCATAAACAAGTCTTATACACTACATTTCTATAAAATCTTAAATATTTATTTTTTTATTTTCAATGATAGAAATTTGTTACACTATTTTAAATAAAAAAGATAATTATTTTTAATAAATATAAATAAATTTCAACCATTAACTTTATATTTAGGTAGAGAAAAATAGATTAGAGAGGAAGCAAGGGGAAGGGAAAGGGAATCTTTCTTCTCTATTTCCCTCTCCTCCCTTCCCCTTTTTAAATAAATAATTAAATTAAAAGAAAAAATAAAAAAAATTCTTTTCCTCTCCTTCTAATTTTCTTTTATAACCAAATAAATAATTTTTTCCTCTCCCTTTCCCTTCCCTCCTCTCAATCTAAACAAACTATATAAATAAAGAGATAATTTTTTTTAATAAATTACGATAAGAGAATTTGAATTTCAATATTAAAATTAAAGAGTACATCTTACAATAAAACATATAATTATTGAATCACAAAATCTAAGTGCAAAAGTAAAGAGATAATTAATTTAAATTTTATATAAATATAATATATAAAATTTATATATGAATAAATTATATTATAGAAAAAAAAAAAAAAAAACCCCTACTCCGATTATTAATTAAATAATCTTGTAATTTCTTGCGGCTAAAACAAGCAATAGTTTTTCAAGGAAAATTCGCCGAGCTCAACCCAACCC